TTTTTTTTTTAAATCAATCATAATAAATAATTAAGTAGAATATTTAAATAGTATATTAAACTATTTTTTAATAGGTCATTCATTGATTTTCAAGTTTGGGACTTTCCAGGCCAAATTAATTATTTCGACGCACCATATGATGCAAATATGATATTTGGAGATTATGGGGCATTAATTTTTGTTATCGACGCCCAAGTAAGTTTCAAGTTTTGACTTGTTAAAAAATCATTAATTAAGCACAATTACCTAATCCGTGACAAAAGTGAATGTTTATGAAAAAAAAAAATTAGGACGATTATATTGAAGCTTTAAATCGTCTTCATCATACTGTAACACGAGCATATAAAGTCAACCCTGAACTTTCTTTCGAAGTGTTTATACACAAAGTAGATGCGTTGTCTGACGAATACAAAATTGATACTCAACGCGATATTCAACAACGAATTACAGATGAATTGGCAGATCATGACTTGGAACATGTTCATTTAAACTTTTATTTAACCAGTATTTACGATCATTCAATTTTTGAAGCATTTAGCAAAGTAATTCAAAAACTTATACCTCAATTGCCAACGTTAGAAAATTTATTGAATATCTTGTGCGCGGTAAATAATTCGTAGTAAATTTATAAAAAAAAAACAATCCAATATTTGATAGTGTCTTTTTAATTATTATTTTTATAGAATTCCGGCATAGAAAAGGCTTTTTTGTTTGATGTTAATTCCAAGATTTACATAGCGACTGATAGTTCACCCGTAGACATGCAATCTTATGAAATTTGTAGTGACATGATTGATGTAATCGTTGATATATCCGAAATTTATGGGTATATATTTATTTTATTTTATTGATTTTTTTAAAAAAAAAGAGATGGCAAAATCGCATTTTCCAATTATTAGCTCTACTGCTTATTAAATATTTATACGGTCGAACAAATTCATACATCAGCGATGAATCATATGACGATCAATCACAAGTTGATACCAACGGATATTCTGGCAACTATGAAACTGCAAATGATGCATCATCATTGATTAAATTAAATAATGGAACGATATTGTGTCTCAGAGGAGTTAACAGGTAAAGTAACGCTTAAACTTTACGACCAAGGACCGTTATCAATTTATACCTGTTCCTGATTGTGATATACTTTTTTTTTATACACACCTTATTTATCAAAACCAGATTTCTCGCGCTGGTTTGCCTTCTTCGGGCTGATAATTTTGAAAAGCACGGATTAATAGATTATAATTTTCAATGTTTTAAAGAAGCAATAGCCGAAGTGTTTGAACTGAAGCGTCGTAACGCAGAAAGAGTTAAACATGAAAGGATGGGATTAATAGAGAATGTAGATGATAACGTAGGAGGATAAAATTTAAGGTATTGTTTTAAGATAAAAAATACCCGTGTATATGCAAAATTTAAAATTATTTTTGTTTCGGGTTATATAATTGTAAAATTCAATAATTCGTTTATTACCTTTATCAAAATTTATTGTGATTATTTAAGATAGCGGAATCTACGTATATTAATAAAAAATTTGTAAAAGATATTTATTGCAATCATGTACAGAGATATCTTTGACTTTCAAAGTAGTTGCCAATCATCCTTGATCATGAAGCCATTTATGTGCTTCCATTATTGAAAACCTACGTGATTCTAAATATACAAGTCCTTGAAGAAGACAATCTGCGAGATCATCCTTCTTTTTAGACTCAAGAAAATATTTGGCTAATTCATCAGGACACAGATGTAGATGATCATTTATCCAATTTCGAGTCAATATCGTTGATAGTGTTTTTTTACCTAAACATTTTCGTATTTCTGCTTTTCTACCTTGTTTTAAAATTTCAGCACGACTTAAAAACATTGTTAAAAACGCCAAACCAACCTATTATATAACCAAATAAGG